TTATAAAATAAATCTATTAAAACACATTCCATTTTTTAAAATTGAGGTATAATTGGTAAAACGCCTCAATTTTTTCACTACATATTCCCAAAGTGAAATATTTCCCCTTCCCTCTTCCCTATCAGTTAACAGCATCAAATAAGTTTGAGTAAAAAATAAGCGGAATTCCCCAAACTGACAATTTGCTCAAACAGGGTTTTCAGAGAGTCCATAGTAACATTTATTTCTGCATTTCACACTCAATAAAATACTTTAGTTACAAAGAATTTTTGGTTGGTACTGACTGATAAGGACTGCCAGTTTTATATGATGGATAACCAATCTGATTCATCACTCTCTGACTAATTCCCTCCACTCTTCCAGTGATGAAACGGCCAAGGGAGCCCAAATGCACTGCACTGCAAAACCCCCTTTAAGATCAGAACCCCTGCAGGGCAAAGCTGTGCAGAGTATGCCGGGCAGTGGGCAGGGAGGCAGCCACATGGCTCACAGTAAGATTGTGAGGGGCAGGTGAGGATGGGGTTTGCGCATGTTCACCACCTGCAGTGACTGACGCCCACACCCAGAAGCAAATTAGTCAGTGTGTGAATGAGAAAGACCTAGTTTGCGCAGACACTTGCATGGCCTGGGTGGGGCATCCCACTGCTTTGAGAGAAATGTGCAGAACTCCAGCTGCGGTCCTTGACTTCTCCAACCGCGTTGCACACACCCTGGGGCTTATTCAGGGCGCCCACTTCGGAGCCTGTGCACAGGCTGTTCCTCGGCTCAGAGTGCTCTTAGCTGAGCGTTCTTCCAGCCTCCTGATCGCATCACCGCCCCACTCAGGAACCTCCTCCCCTCACCTCCCCTCTGCCTCGCACCTTCCAGCGTTGTTTCCGTCCGAGCGCGATCACTGGCTCAGTTTGTGCGTGTCACCGGTCTCCCTAGTGAAGTGTGAGCGCCCTGAAGGCAGGAACCGTGTCTGTCTCACACTCACCTGTGTCCACATGCCTAGTGCCAGGCGTGCAGTGGGCATGCAAATATTTAAGTGGATAAATCAGTCAGCAATTTTTTGAATGAGAAATTGATAGTTTTTTTAAAAATAAATATATTCTGATGACCTGCCGAACTTTTTAGCATAGAACAGTAGCCATCCTCCTAAAATATGGTGGTAGAGTATATCTTATTAACAAGGCGTAAAATACACCAGGCTTAAGACTGCAAAGAGCTGCTTCCTCGTAACATTTGATATTCCCTTCTACTTCAGAACCAGAACCCTGAATTTTAGCTTTAACAAAATTCTGTCCGCGAAACAGTTCTTCTAAGAAGCCTTTCCATTTTCTGGATGTGGCTGTAATGACTGGCACCTGAACCGCCCTTTTGGAATATGAGGTTATAAACCAAGATGGCAGAACACAAGAGAGGAGCTGCGTCCCTGGCAGGCCACTGAAGTGGTCCTGGGTTATTTACATGGGTCAGAAGTAAACTCTACTATTTAAGCCAATGAAATGTGTGATTGTAAGAAATTATAGGTAACTGAATTTAACTGTAACAGGAATATGGGCATTCGTAGTCTGGTATATTACTCAACTCCTAAAGACAGAAGGGAGAAAGGTAAAACTAGGGGCTGTAAAGAAAACCAGGATTTTCCTGTAAAGTCTTCATTTCCCTAATCAATGTAGGATAGGAAGACAAAAAACAAAGGACAAAGAGGATTGTGTCACCTCTCTGTGAAACGCTGGGCTACAGTCTGGGATGACAGAGAGCGACATGGGTACATGTGGTCCCCAAGAGCAGCCCCAGTTCACCACATCCGTGGTCTCTGCCTGAAGCCACAAGAGATGTTTATTGCTCTAGGGCAAAGTGAGTGATGGGGGTTTTCTCAGTAAGCTTTTTATAAAGATACACTTACTCAATTTCAAAAACTGCCTTTTATCCTTAAATTGTCTTTTGCTTTTATAATTGATTATGACAGTGTCTGTGGATTTTTTAAAAGTCCTGTTTTAACAAAATTAAAAAATCAGCATATCTGTGTTAGATCGCCAAATCAACCAATTTAATTACTAATAGAAAGCAATCCCAAGCCCAGATATTTGGACAATAATAATAACAGACTGGGGTTAGGATAATGATGAAAGTAGCAGACTGCATTTATTACTTATAGATATTATTTTCATTTTACTCTTCTGAAATGAAGTATACTCTATGAGGCATAAGAATCATTACCCTCAATTGTAGACAAAAACACAAAACCAAAAAGCAAACCCTGAAGGTTACAGTGTTTTTAAATCCAAGTTTTCTTCTCCTTGTTAGTTCTGTGCTCCAAAGAGATAAAGTCTGATCATTCCATGTGTCTGCTGAACTTAGACACCTTAAATCACAGAGGTGATGAAACAATCGCTCTGTTTTCCTCACAGATGCAGCAGCGGAGTCTTCTTACCCCAGCGTCACCCCAGAAGTTTTGGCTCTCCCACCGATCTCCATGCTAGGGGTGCTATCTGTGTCTGGATTTTACGCCTATGGTTGGGATTTTATAGAGCTTTTAATATCTGTTCACATTCATCCTTAGCAATTAAGACATGACAGAAATTCATTTGACACATATTGGCTGAGTATCTCCTATACGCCAGGCACAGGAAATGCAACAGAGAGCAAAGCAGACAAAAATGTGTTTTCGCAGAAACTTGATTCCAGTGGAAAGTTCAGAAAATAAACACTAAAGAATTAAACTGTCAAATGCAGTCACATGGTGGTAACGGCTGTGGAGAACACAAAGCAAGGAAACAGGCCAGGGTGTAAGAGGGCTGCGATCTGAAATCAGATGAACAGGGAGGCTCCTGAGCCCAGGTGAACGGAGGCCAACGGGGGAGCCAAGGTTAACGCAGCAAGCTGGTGGGTATCGGGGCGAATCCTGCAGGCTGGAAGGAAAGGCCAGTGCAAAGGCCCGAGGCCTGTGTGCACCTGGCAGGGAAGCCAGTGTAGCTGCAGTAGAGTCAGCAAAGGAGAAAGCTCGAGGGCCTGAGGTTGGGGAGAAAACCGTAGAAAAGGAAGAGAGGACAGACTGGTCGCAGCCTTGTCAACCACTGCAGAGAACTTTGTTTTCACTCTCAGGAAGATATGAAGATGCTGGAGGCATCTGAGCCACATCATACAACTCAGTTTTTCAAAACGGCGCTGAGGTTGTACAGTACTGAGAAAGTATAGATACGAAGGTGGAAGCAGGAAGACCAGTTAGGAGTCAACTGAGCCAGTCCAGACGAGAGAAGGTGGCAGCTGAAACCTGAGTGGTACTGGGTGCAGGTGGCGGGAAGTGGCTGGATTCTGGGTGTGTTCTGCAGAGACCTGACAGAACTGGCCGATGGAAGGACACAGAGGCACAGAGATTTGTGGGCTGAAGGGAGTGAAGAGTTCAGTTTTACAAGTACATCTGAAATGATGATCAGACATCCAACTGTGGTCATCAGGTTGACAGCTGGATATTCCAGTCTAGAGTTTGGGGAAGAGACCCAAGCTGCAGGTCAATGTGGAAATCTTTGACGGACTGAGACATTAAAGCCATGATGTTGGTTGAAATAATTGAGAGGGTGTGTAGATAGAAACTGTCTGAGGACTGGGTCCTGGAACACTCCAATGCTCGGTGGTCAAGGAGTATCCAGCCAGAGAAGATGAGAAAAAGCAGAGTTCAGAGTCAGAGAAAAGCCAGGAGTGTGGTACCCAGCAGGCAAGTGAAGGAAGTGTCTGGAGTAGCAGACGTGATGAGTTCCACCACAGCTGCGGATACCCTCCTCCCTGCCTTGTTTGCTTCCTAGTGCTTATCGCTACCTAACAGAGGACGTCACGAATACAACAGAAGATTGGGGACAGGGAAGGTAAGGCAGCATGGAGAGCATCCATACACAGAAGTCAACCAACAGTTTCTGCAGTGAGGAGAAAATGCGGAAACAAGCTACTTAGACACGTGTAGGGAAGTACTAGAAGAAGCAGTGTAAAGTCGGGAACGGGACTCATGCTCAGAGTGTAGCGGGTAGATGACTCCGGCTTTTAAGTCATAACTTTTAAAACTATATCTCTACATAACATTGATAAAAAATGAAAACAACCAGTCAGACAATAATAAAATCCATGAGCTAGGTGCCTAGTTCCCAGCCTAAGGGCTACAAATTTATGGCTGGAGGCCAGCAACTCTACCTGCTCATTGAAGTGTTATTTACATACCTAGCAGCTTTGATCTACATTATGTGTCATGTATCTTTTCAGCAAACACACTGCTTTCCTCACCACAAATTAAAGGCATTCCTGAAATTGTAACAATGCTTAATTACTGAGGATTTTATCATCCTGTTGATACTCAAAGTACACCCACTATTCTGTGGTCATCCATATGTTTTTAACTGTAAACATAGCACCTCACTCTAAGTTTAGGAATCTTTATGGGAGTTCAATTAAAATTGTACCGGCTTATTGTAGTTATTAGAATGCCTTTATAATAAACCCCTTTCTGTATGGATATAACTTTGTTTGCAAGCCTTTCTTTCCAACAATCTGGGGTTCCCTGGAAAAGATAACAAGTGCTAGTTATCTGCAGACCTTGATATCTAGTGCAGTTGCCAATGTAGGTGACAATAAATAATATTTTCTAAGCGCTTTGTCTGTGCTAGACACTGCTTTAAGTACTTTACGTGTATTTTCACTTAATCACTACTGGGAAACGGTAGCGTTATGGTTTCTGAATTTGGCACTGTTATCACTCATACATCACAGAAAAGGAATCTGAGGCACGGAGGTGTTGTGATTCTCAAGGACACACAGAGAGCGAACAGCAAAACTAGTATTTGAAGCCAGGCAACCCTTCTCCAGAGCCCTGGCACTAAATGTTTACGTAGCACATTGATAAATGTTTGTTGATGAAATCGCTGAAAGAATGAATCCAGTGGCAATTTATTTTAGCTAGTGATAGAAAATAAAGTCATCATGTCATTTATGAATCTATATTTGAAGGGCTGTTTATTTGGGAATCTCACCTTTTTCTTTTTGTTCTGGATCATCTGTTTTCCTATTTGTTTCTGAAAAGTAAAGACAAAACAAAATGAGTACTATGAAAGTCATCATTCACTATCTCAAAATGACCAAATTTAAATGAATTCAAATTGATATAATTTAAAAAATATTTCTGGGCAAACATTTCAATTTTCCAAAAATCCTAAATTCTTTACACACAAAATTTGTTATATTAAGATTAGACTCCTTTGGGTTAGTTATAAAAGTCACCAGGCAGTAACGAGGTTTGAGGGGCCAGGCCACGGTTTCTCAGTTAAAAGAGAGTCAGTGTGAGTTACCGCCACCTCTCAGTGCCCTGAGTGCAGAGGCAAAGCGGGGTAGGTAGAGGTCCTCACGCAAGCTTACTCAGCATTGTGTCTCCTGAAAACGTAAGACTACTTTATAAAAGGTACCATGTGCTTTCAAGCACTGAAGTATGTCACCCTCCTGAGATCACTAGTCCCATTCCTCTAAGCACTTCACACATAACGGGGGAGCCCCTGGGGGCCTGCACTGAGCCCAGGTGTGCTGGATGTAGCTCACCTGCCGAGGAGCTGAGGTGGGCCTGAGAGCCCACCGGTGCCAGCCTTTCACTAAGTTAATCAAACTTAGTCTCTCTCCCAGAAATGGGGTTACCAAGCACAGTGAAACCCACCAAGAATCTGGACCCGCCAACGAATATCCATCCCACAGGGACGCCAGCAGCACCATGACCTGTCTGTGGGTTTATAACCAAACTCTGCATTTATAATCTCACATCTGTCTTACTGTTTAATTCACATTAGGATCTAGGGAATTGTCAAGGCAGGTCAGTCCGTCGATTATAGTCCCAGCAGGTACCTATCCAGTTGGGGGGTATTTCTAGGAACATGTGTATGTGCATGTGTTGCCATGGGGATGGGAGAAAAGTCACAGGCTCCGTCCTTCCCCACAGCAGACACGAGGCCGCAGACAGGTGTGGGTGCCGCCCGGGCTGGGAGCAGGGAGGCAAGCCCAGATCACTCAGTCTTTTGGTCCCCAGTTTCCCACATTCATTCATGTGAAACATCTCATGATTTGGAGGTGAGAAGTGAGTATGACGCAGGCTTCTGACAGAAGGAAGACATTTCTACAGGTCAAGCATAGTTCCCCTTTGAGACCTTAGGGGAGAGCATGGGAACCAACTTCAAAAGCCAGTGTGCTAGGCTCAGTGCTAAGCAGTCTCATGTGTCTCTGGTCCCAGACCCCCTGTGGGGAAAGGTCGTATCTCCCTCTCTGTGCAAAGGAGGAAGCAGAGGCTGAGAAAGGAGAGCGTCCAGGTCAGCAGTTTACATCACTTCAAAGCAGATGATCTTCCCACGGTGCCCTTCTGTGCCTCTCTTGAGAGAAAAATAAATACTAGAGAAATGCAGTTCTTGACTTTGGCCAAGAGTGTGTTTTATAAATTTGACTACCATACACTTTGGGGCCAGTGCAAGAAGGGGTTACCCAGGACATTAAAAACAGCAACAACAAAAACAACTTTGATCCTTCCAACTGTAACCTCTTGTCCTAAGTTAGGCGGCACACTATTTAATAGGCCGTCAGGGATACAGGAGGAGCTCTTTGGAGTGGTATCAGCGATGCCTGCACAGGCCCCAGTGGGCGTTACCTGGTGCCCGTGTGTTCGCTCTAGAATACCCTGAACAGCCCCATGCTGGCAGGCGGCTTGGCCTCTCGGACCCTCGGTTTGCTGGTCTGCAAGCAGAGATGACACTCCTCTGCTGGGAAAACTCAACTCCCTGACATGAAGCGCTTCGCAGAGGAAGTGCTGTCAATGAAAGTGAGTCTGCTCACCCTTAGTTTCTTTTTGGATTTTTAAAAACATTTTATTTATTTTTTAGACAGAGGGGAAGGGAGAGAGAGAACGAGGGGGAGAAATATTAGTGTGTGGCTCCCTCTTGCGCACCCCCCACTGGGAACCTGGCCTGCAATCCAGGCATGTGCCCTGACTGGGAATCAAACCAGGGACCCTTTGATTTGCTGACGCTCAATCCACTGAGCTACTCCAGCCAGGGCAGCCCACTCTTAGTTTCAAGTCTTCTGAACAAAAACTTAAAAAGGATAGATACAGGGATGATTTCACTGTAACCCTGTCCCTAGGAATGTAGCATAACAATAAATGTTAAACAAAATAAATGTTACCTATTAGAAATAAATTAACAGGATGAAAGTACTCCTTTGTGATTGTAGTCATGAAAAATGACATAATATTCTAAAATACTAGTAAGTACAAAATGAACCAGTTTTATTATGTAACAAATAAAAATAATACACTTCAGAATAATGACAATACAGAGAAAAATTCTTCTGCATTTTATTACATTCAAGTAACATTCAACAGAAGGCATTTACAGTATTTTTAGAAAATCCATTGAGGTTGCCCAGCTTGGCATATATTTATAATAACAAGGCTCATTAATTCAGAATTAAAAGTATCTGGAGTTGACCACAGCATAAGGAATCTTCTATTCCAGAGTTCTAGAGATCATTACATACAAAAATTCAGTAGAATTTATTTTAATCATGTATCTGTTCTGTCACTCCTAAATTTCCCCCCTCCCAAAAGATTATGGCTTTATAAAAAGTAGTGTTCTATAATTCATAATATGAATTAAGAGCTTTATTAGAATTTGAGCAGCAACTCTGTATTACTAGTGTCACAGCTTTAGAAAATTATTCCTTTTTTTTTACTAATTATAAGGGGTTTTGTTACACATTGGGTCAGCATGCATAACTTCCTACATTATAACTATGACCTATAATGACAAAAAAATCTCTTCGATTTTAACCCTAAAAGCAGAAAAGAAAGATCATCTCATCATAAAAACAATGTTATCATAATCAAGAGCTATTCCCTGGCACATAAATGAAACCATTTCTATGGCTTTTTATACAGCTCATGGTCCTTTCAAAAGGATACTGTAGCGACCTTTGTTTCTCACAGATGAATATTTCATCACAGCAACTCTTTCCGAGTCACAAATAAACCACATTAAAAATGGAGGGAACTTCAGTGTGGAAGGAAAAAGGCTCGTGCACTGTGAACAAGCAGCAGGCAGCAGGCTCTGTGAGCACTTCCCACAGGTGCTGAACGAGCCCGGCTGCAGGCGAGTTACTGAGCTTCCTGAGTGAGAGCCCTGCACGTCCTTGGTGCTGTGAGGGCATGATTTTAATCAGTCAAGGGCAGGACAACCTTCAAGTTACACACCAGGGCTTTGTATAGGTTCTCTAAAATTTCAACAAGTATTGACTGGACAATTATTATAGGATCAACATGAGGTGCCGAACAGCGTTTTGGCATGAGAAAACAGGTCATGCCTTTCCTCTAGGCCCCAACAAGGGATTTATATCCCCCTCACTTTGAAAAAATAAATTAACCATAATAATTTAAATCTTTCACTGAACGATTCATTGTTCCTATCTAATGAGCTAAAAGCTGTAAGAATATCAAATATTGAGTTTTACCCTGAACACTCGAAGCTACTGTAGATTTTATTTTTTAAGGATACTGGTGCAGATGTGCACAACTGGAATCTTCACAGCTACTAAGGACCTCTATTAGTGTTTTCAAGGCGCTACGGCAAGGCAGCCCTAATGGTTTAAATCCCGTTTAATGCAGTTTGCACATCAGTACAGCATAGTTAGTTTAATTCCTCACAATATATATTAAAACCCTGCCAAGACAACTGCTGCTACATCATCAATATAATGATTAAATGTTGCCTGCAAAACACACATTAATCCAAGTAAGTCTAAAAGATGTGTCACAAAAAGGAAATAAAAATAAGAAAAGAAATATAATGGAGTCACTACTGCTATCAAAAAAGGACATGCAGGAATGTCACATTACATGTAACTTTTGTTTTTATAAAAAAAATACACTGAAATGCCAGTGGACTATGATTCACTCAAAACAGCGTTAGTGTTCACTCCCACAGATCTTGGTCTGCTCTGTAACTACTTCACAAGATCTATCACAGCCATCTTTTGGAGCGTTTGGTTAGGCTGGTCCTCCTGGGTAGTGGGGGCAGTCTGTTTGAAGCTTTAAGTATCTGCAAAAATAAGGGGAAATCTAAATTAAAGGACCAACCAGACATAGACTACGAAACTGCGTCATTTTCTTTTGACTTTTAAAAACACACCAACAGAAGTGAACGGTTTTTTTACTTTTGTGTTGTTGTTATTTTTTTTAAGGGCAACTTGGTAACAGAATGATTAACTACATAGTGAAGTTTCTAGTCATAACTTACAAAGCTGTTGATGAAAATCTAAGGCTCTTTAGAGCATCTGAGAATTAAAAGTGAATTTAAGATTTTCAACCTTTTGAGAAATACAAGCATTAATTTCTTTCTTCCAGCAATGATTCCACTGTGTTAAAAAATAGAGAAAAAAATCTAATATGCTATTTGAAAAACAAATATAGAAAGGATTTTCAAGGAGCAACTGGATACTGTATGCTACAGTTTCAATATATTGCTTTAATAATTTTATGCCAATTTTTAATATAATTGACAATATGAATGGTTGGTTAAAAAAGAAGTATACACAAAATTTAAAAAGAACTAAAATTCATTCCTGCCCAACTTTTTACAAATACCTTCTCATTCCAAACTTCAGTATTGGAATCATTTTACTCTCACGGCATTAAATTTATGTTACAATTAGAGTAGAAAATGAGCTGATAGGCAAGAAGGCCCAGCCACCTGTGGATTCACTTTCTAAAGCCGGGTTGTAATCCCTCCTTCCTCACTCACCCATCCAAGCATCCGGTCATCTATCTGCACAGTATGTATGTGTGTATGTGTGTGTAAACAGAAGTTTTTGTCTAAGAAGAATAATTTGGTGCTGGAAATTATATGTAGACTTTAATATATCCAAGGAAATGAGTGTTTATGTCCACCAAAGACAGACACGAGAATATTCAGAGCAGCTTTTTTCAAAAGAGCCAAAAACTGGACACATTTACTACAGCCATCAACATAGAACAGATTTTTTAATGTAGTAT